CTTTTGAGAGCAGTGTGTCTGACAGCACCAGTCAGAAAAGGCTGCCTTTCTTTTCCCAATTCTTCCACTCTCCCATTGAGTGGCCTGTGCCAAATATTTTGCTTCAATTTTTCATCTTTAAATTGAAACTCATAGTGGCTGCTGTTAGCATAACTAACTTCTTTAATATACCTCTGTGAGATCTACTAATGAAAATCTCTTGTGGTAAAATAGTGGTGACTCTCTGTTATGTGCCTAACTGGAATCTTAAAATAAAAGATTATGGTTCTCAATTGTTACAAGTGAGGGTTTATTTAGCAGCTTGATGCAGTTTTGAGCTTTGTTAAGGGGTTGAGTACTGTTAAGAACAGTTATACCAATTTGTTGCTGACATTATAACCTATGGGGACTGTTTCTGGTGACAACCCCTGATATTTTATCTGTTTGTTACAAACCATGTCGAGACTGTACCTCAGAGAAGTCTGAGGCAACTGATACCTTAGAATACGTGATGGATTTTGGCTTTGACTGATGCTGGTCTAGTATGCAAAGCTATGCTCAAAGGAGCCCATTAATGGTACCAACACCTGTTGGTGTTATTATAATCCAAAAAAAGAGACCTCTTGGGAGACGTGTTGATGCAGGTTAGTTGGCATGAGGTTCTAGCACCCACAGTATAAGGGTATGTAGGGCTATTTCCTTGCAACTCTAGCTTGAATCATGAAGTGTTTTTTTCCTGGCAAACTAATATTCATAGGGTGAAGGAAAAAAAAGAGAGTTGTACAACCCCATGTATAACCTGCAAAAGAATCAGACACCTTTTAAAAATACTTATATTCCTCTTTCAGGGGTGTGTATTCATTCCTCATAGCACTTATGCATCAGTTATGATAATCCATGAAAAGAAGGGTCAGCTTCAGTTGTTCAGCAAGCATTGATGTAACTTCTGCCCTCAATTTTTAATAGTTAGTTAGAGGGCCAGGTGTATGGAGAGAGGCAATGCAGCTGAGCCCAGTGGTAGGCTGGGGAGTGGCACCATGAGTCGCAATGTGCACAGTAAATCATGTAGGAGGAATGAGTGGATAATGACTCATCCCCGACCTAATGGCATCTTACTGACAGAGTGGCAGAAGGATTTTTACGTGAACTTATGTTTCACTGGACAAATCATTTACACATATTTCTTTGAAACAGTTTCCCGAAATTTTATACAACACATGCATAACAATCTCTGGAGCAAAAGTGAGTTTCTGGCTTTTCTTTCACTCTGAAAGTGCACAGAAACTTTAACATGATTATGAAATTGGACCTGAAGATTTACAGAGACAGTATCACAGAATCACATGATCAACTGCGTTGGAAAAGACCTCTGAGAACATTGACTCCAACCTATGATCTAACACCTAACACCATCTTGTCAACTAGACTGTGGCACTAAGTGCCACATCCAGTCTTTTCTTAAACACCTCCAGGGACGGTGACTCCACCACCTCCCTGACCAGCCCATTCTAATGCCCAATCACCCTTCTTGTGAAGAACTTTCTCATGTCCAACCTAAACCTCCCCTGGTGCAGCTTAAGACTATGTCCTCTTGTCCTGCTGGGAGAAGAGACCGACACCCACCTGGCTACAACTTCCTTTCAGGTAGTTGTAGAGAATGATGAGATCTCCCCTGGAGCCTCTTCCTCTCCAGGCTGAACAACACCAGCTCCCTCAGCTGCTCCCCATAGGACTTGTGCTCCAGACCCTCGACCAATCCCATTGCCCTTCTCTGGACACATTCCAGCACCTCAAAATCCCTCCTAAATTGAGAGGCCCAGAACTGGACATAGTACTTGAGGTGTGGCCTCACCAGTGCCGAGTACAGGGGAAGAATCACCTTCCAAGACCTGCTGGCCACACTGTTCCTGATACAGGCCAGGATGCCATTGGCCTTCTTGGCCCCCTAGACACACTGCTGGCTCATGTTCAGCTTCCTGTCAATCCAAACTCTCAAATCCCTTTCTACCAGCCACTCTGTCCCCAGCCTGTAGCGCTGCATAGGGTTGTTGTGGTCAAAGTGCAGGACCCAGCACCTGGTCTTGTTGAACCTCATCCCATTGGCTTTATTCATCCCATTCATCAGAGAGCCTAAACATTGTACATAAGTCACAGCCACCATCTGGGAAGCCCCATTTCCTGTCTTCTGAGGAAGGTGGTATGACAGGCTGACTGGTTCCCCTGAAGGCATCAGGGCCAGCTGTATCGCATCTCACAGGTAGGTCAGGTAGGTGGTACTGCAGACATCCAAAAAGTCAAACACTGTGAGTTGGCACTTCAAAAAAAGAAAAGTGGTCAACCCCCAAATAATTTAAAAGATACCTTGAAATGTGTCCACGTGGAATATCATCATTGAAGACCTGTGCAATCTTCCAGGCATTTATTAAGCAACATGGCATGTAATATGTGACATCTGGAGAAGCACTACAGATGCAGCAGAAGCACCTTGTTTGCCTTTGATCCCCTCTGCCGTTGGTGAATTGTATTTCAGAAATACCATTTCTGAAGGTACAACAAGATGCTCTGAAGTAAATTCCATCATTATGTTATCGAGTTCTGATGGGTGTGATATGAACTGTTTAATTGCAGCTACTGTGAGACACTGACAGGACTCAAGCTCAAATCACTTTGAAAAAGCTTACAGAAAATGTGTTCCTGAGAATTTTGTGTGTTCTCCAGAAGTGTGGGCTAATCCTGATCTCCCTGTAGGTTCTACCTGTGTGAATAATGCCACCGAATCAGTGGCCTAATGCCAGCATAAACCTGGCAAGTGAGAACAGAAGTCAACCATGACTTTTCATAGATGTTTTTTCTAGTTAGTTTATTATATTTCATTTGTTAGGACAAAAAAAAGACATGGTAACAAATCCAAAGTGGGACACAAGATAAAGATAAGCTTTTCCAAATTCATAATTTCACAAGTGTAATTTCATTTAAATTTAAGTAAAGATCTTTGTCAAATTAATGAAAAAAACGGAACAGCTTACTCTTAAAAAAAAAAAAAATGAGGCAACTGTAAATTGATGCGGCTTGGTTTTGGATGAGAAAAGATATATACACATAGCAGGAAATAACCAAGCACAGCAACTGTTTTGGCTGCAAAGCCAGTGTGTTCAATATTTGCCATTACAGGGGAAAAAAGATTAAGGCTAAAATTACAAGAAAAATAAAAGGATTCTTTTGTTGTCAGGGATTAGCAAGCCTCCTTCGAATATAGGGAAAAAAATTTTGTATACTTTTGTCCAAACTATCTACACAGGCACATTAAGGTATCTAAATTATTTCTTAATTACAAAGCCAATTTTATTAATAAATTATTGTTGTTAATAACACAGCCAGCTCAAAGGAAGTTCTTCCCTAAAACTTCCAACATCCCAAATAATGCATGATTATGTTCAAGTGGGACAGACATTTGATCATCAAAAATGATCAAAATACATCTGTGATTAGCAAGCATTTCATTAAAACCATCTCCTCTTTTTTTCCTCTCCAAAAGCTTGCAGGGAGACAGTGAGATGATAGTGATCTGCATGGAGAATGATCTGTCATGAAATTAGCTAAAAGGATTGGAGAGAAATGATATTATAAAGGCAACTCAGAACTGCCCAAACATGAGGAGTATTGGCTGTACATTTGAGTAAATCTGTGCAAAAAATAAACGCCTATAAAAACAAAACTCTTTGATCTTGAAATGTTTCATGCAGAAATTGACTCCAAGAGGGGAGTCAAGAGTTCATAGCAAACTCTTACTCATTTACTCTGGCAATTTAACCATCAGATGTTGAATCCAGCTCAGCCCAGGACCAGATGGTATTCATCCAGAACTTCTAAAGGAAATAGTAAAATTATTAAACATGATGTACAATCTATTGTTTAGAACTACGCTGTTGCCAGGAGCAAAAAAATAGTGTAAATTTGATGACAATGTTTAAAAAGGACTCCAGGGGAACTAAACCCTTGGAATTATGAGCCAGTCTGTAAGCCTGGCACTCACAAAAGGAAAACTGGTGAGGACTGTAAAAACAGACAAAAATCTCTGGACACATGGTCTGCACAAATTTACTGAGGAAAGCTGCACCTTATGGATTTAGAGTTCTGAGCATGTGAACAGGATGATTCAGTTTTAACAGTAACTACACAGTTGCTGGGATTTGCACAAGATATCATTCCCTCACTCATTCAGCACTTGCTTTTGGTTGAAATTAGTACCCTCTGGAGTCAGTCATAGCTCACCACCACTGTACTCTGCTCATTTGCTGTCTGCACAGTACGTGGCTGTGCTGAAAAGCTTCGCAGGACAAGCTGCAGCTGACACAGCCTGGCCCAGTTTACCTCTTTGCTGACTCCTTGAAGCCTCCAGCCATGGCTGCTGGCCTCATTGGCTTCATCCATCTTCTATGTCCTTAGGAAACATGTCTTGACTCTAGTGGGCCCATCCCTTGGGATGGGGCTCAGTGAGGGGCTCCTGGGGAAGCTGGTCCTTCACATTGTCCCACATATATTTGAGACCAACAAGAGAGACATGCACTGGCTTTACAGTGTTTGTTGTACTGCCCTGCAGCCCTGGCCAGCCTCTCACCCTGCTCGCAGCAAGTGGGACCACGCAGTGGTATGGACCACTGATGACCAGCTGCATCCAGGACTCCCAGAAGCAAAAAGGATAATTGAGAGATTAGAACTTTAAATGTTGCTTTTCAATCTACTCCCCTACACACCCATTCCCACATTCACACTATAAAGCAAAGCTGGCAAGACTGGAAAAGAAACCCAGGCATTCCAGTCTGTGTATATCAACTTTAAGGGATTAGGACTTGTTATAAAGGATGTGTTATTGCTCTGCCTGTTTAAGTAGAAGAGATTTTAAATGTGAAATTTGTTTTCCACTAAGTTATAACAGATTCATTTCAAATATTAATTTACATTTCTGACTATAAACAGGCTGTATACTGCAGGTTAAAAGCCCATGACTTTGTGAAAACAACAGTGAGGATGATGTTTAAGTATTAAAAAAGCAGAACTTTTAACCTTTCAAGATCATTGTGTTTTACGCTGGTGTGTAACTAATGTGCCCCAATTTATCAGTTTAATCAAGTTTGTATTCAAGTCATATACAAGTCCTTGTACAGAGGAAATGTGTAGGCTTCTGCTCATATTAACTAACAATTCTAATATACCTTTATAAGGTTTGATCCAGGAATATTGAAATTAGTTAGTTTTTCTATTGCCTTGCTGGGGTTTGGATCAGACACGTACTGCACCTTTGTGTGAAGCTAGAACTTCACCAAACGAGCTAAATGTAACTGCTCTTATTTTTCTAAGCCTTCCCTATCTTCAGTTTGCTCTGAAAAATATGAAGATAAGAATCATTTCCATGTAAGGAATGCAAAATCTTCACTATGTTTTCCTCTTCTCTGCCCTTTTATTCAGCTACTCTTACCATTTCAAATGTTGGTATTTGAGAGACAGATTTATCACTCTCATCACTCACTGGTTCTCATTCATTGGCTGTGGCATAACAGTATGCCTCTGGGAAATATTGTAGAGACGAGAGTAGAAGCAATCTTGCAAGGGGTTAATGCTGTAATCTTTTTCTAGGCTGTTTATAATCCCAACACTAGTCCAGTAACAGAAGAGGGTGGATCTAAAAAGTACCAGAGGGGATGTGTGTGTGTGTGTGTGTGTGTGCATACATGTGAGTGTGTATGTGCACACCTGCTTTGCTTTTCTGAACTGCCTTGTGAGCCCCTGGAATAAATCTTGTTCAGCCTGAACAGGGCTCTGTGTGCTGGGTGCTCCTGTCAGAGAGTCAGAAGAGCTTCCTTGCACAACTGCCTCTCTTGTATTTCTCCTGAAGACTTCATTCAGAAATGTATTTATTTACTGAAAGAGTGGGCAGATAGTTACAAACCCACCCTCTTCTTCATCAAAGCTAATCTGTGGATACTGAAGAATGGAAATAGTTGATGCAAGCTTCCTTGGGAACAATACCAACATTACTGCTTTTCTGTGCAGTATCATCTTGGAAAATGACACTTTTTACTGTGTGGATGATCCACCTTATCCTTCTAAAGGTAGGTATAGAAAAACAGATTTTTTTTCACACGGTTTTAGTTCTAGCTGGATGTAAAGATACAGTGGAAAGAAAAAGCTATGCAAGGCTTTTTCTCTGAGTAAGTGCAAAATCAACTGCTTGCTGATAAGTTAGGATGAGAAACAGGCAGCAAAGAATTTAGCGTGTTCTGGTTTTTCAAGTTAAAAATTCAGCTAGGAAAAAATTTGGATATAATAGAAGATTAAAACAGTAGCACTACTGGGCACAAAATGTAAACAGCTGTGCTAAGGATTTGGAGAAACAGGATTTTTAGTCAATTCAATAACAATGGAGTGATCAGATCTCATACTGTGTATGAAAATTATTAAATATGAAATCATAGCACTTTGAAGCTGAAAAAAACCTATCATGTATTAAAATATTTTTGTTTGCTATATAATTTCTTACTTCTGCATAAAGAAGGAACTCTCATGATGGATGCTGCACCCTAAGTGGTGTGAGCAGAACATGCTTTAAGAAGTTGTATATGACTCTTCAAATGTACAGTGTATTGCATGTATTGTAGCTGAATGCTATGCAATTCAGGTACATCAGAATAAGTTTAAGAATTTCAGCTCTTTAACTGATTTTGTATTGTACTAAGACATAAACCTTAGTAAAATTGAGTTCAGAAAGGCTTTTACTTTTTGATTAAAGGATGAAATATAGAATACTACTCTGAGTCAAATGCTACATAACTGATCTTTTCTTGTGACAATTTTCAGATTTTCATCAGATAATTCGAATTCTGCTGTATTGTTTGATATTCTTGCTCAGCGTTTTGGGGAACATTCTGGTAATTACAGTGCTGATAAGAAATAAGCGGATGAGAACAGTCACCAACACGTTTCTGCTGTCACTAGCAGTCAGCGACCTGATGCTCTGCCTTTTCTGCATGCCTTTCACCCTCATTCCCAACCTGCTGAAAGATTTTATTTTCAGTAGTGCTGTTTGCAAAACTGCCACTTATTTCATGGGTAAGTCTGAGAAGTTTATAACTATTTTGAAGTCTAACTAATGAGACAGGTGAGAAGGTATTTAAAGACCTACAAAAAGCTGATTGTTTCCACCCGCCGTTGAAGTTACCAATATCATGGAGAAACATCTTTGTAGTGCAAATCTTTGTGGTTCTGGTTTCCTTGGTCTGATCCAGCAAAACACAGAGACAGCTACCTAACTTTAATGACATATAGAAGTGTTTTGCTGGATCAGGTTAGGTGTGTTGCATGATCCAGCTTTAATGAGGAATCCCGCACACGCATTTGCTTACCCGTACCTGACAAAGTTGTTTGCAGTGTTCAGATCACCCACCAGAAGTGCTGGGGTTGTACATACTTGCTAAGGGCAGATTTTACCCACAGATTTTTGGTAGCAGTGACACATGAAAAAATAAAATAGGCCAAAGTAGAGGTAATTTGCAGAGCTGGAATTTAGAGCAAGCACTTTTTCAGGACAGGTCAGATGGGATCAGAGCTCACTAGGAGACCATAAAACACACATATAGGTTTCAGAGGCTGACTCTAAAAAGCATCACTTTTATACACCTTGATGTATGCCCTTTTTTTGCTGTGGAGCCAGGAATTTCAAAATGCCTGGGTTATGTCTGTGTGTAACCAATTTTTGTCTCACTTCCAATACTTCTCATGCATTTGCTGGTTTCTTAAGAAAAAAAAAAAGAAAAGAAAAGAAAGAAAAAAAAAAGAAAGAAGAACATCACGAAAAGTTTTCACCACTTTTGGGAGACCCTCAGTTAATTACAGAAACCTACAGTCCTCTTTCAACCCATGCCCTTGAGAACTTTGATGTAATGTGAAAGTACACACCTAAAGTGTGCGAATGGGAAATCAACATATTTTCGTAGATAAAACCAATAAAACTAAAGGCCATGTTTAAACAATTATAATGAATTGCTGCCATAAATACCATAAAACATTAGTGAAGCATTGTCATCTTACTCTTATTCACTGCGTAAATTACTTTATTAAAAAAATCCAGTGAGATGGATCAAACGTGAACATTCTCTTATGAAGCTGTTTTATTTTAACAGTTGGAACGTGGATATTTTCCATTAGTGGTTCAAGTAACAGAGGCTTCAACTGACAAACAGACACTGACAACCATTGCATCAACGATGTTCAATTTTTTAAGATGTAGAAAGACATATTTTAAATTACAGATGATTTGTGTAAAGCAAACTGTAAAGATATTGGCATTTTATAGTTTGACCCACATTAGAACATTCACAAAGACTGTTAAATGAAAGCTGGTTCACTGAAAGAAAGATCTGTGACAAAGTTAAGAAGAAATACTTATAATCTTGCAGTGGTGAACTTGGGCACCTCAATGAAAGAAACACAGATATTTTATAATACATGAACAGGAGAAATTAAGGACATTCAAAAGACAAAGTCTCTGCTTCTATGTAACTTCATTTCTCCTTCTTCGTAACTCCATCTAATTAAAAAAGTTGTAACATATTTAATTCTTTTGAATGATAAAATCAGATCACCAGTCAAGCAGGACACTCAAAAAACTTAAAACAATAGAAAAGGGACTGTGAACATCTGCATTAAAAGAGTAATTAACCACATAATCACATTGATTTCAAATGCTTGTTTGAATTTCAGTGCAATTAGTGGAGTGAATAAACCACAGCAGCAAAGAGAATAATTAGGACAAAAAGTGTCTTTTTCTCCCGTTACTAGAATTTTATGGTTTGATAGAGTGTATCTTTTCTCTTGGACTTTTGGAGTTAAAGAAAGGGAGAGCAAGAATATCAGTCTGGAGCAATCTGAAGACCTTTTGCCCCGTTGTCTTCAGTGACTTAAACTATATGGTATTTATCAATATTTTAACTTATAAGTAGTTTGCTATATTTTTAAATTTATGTATGCATACAGAAAGTTAGCAAGACCATTTGAAAAGAACATGACCATTTAAAACAAGAGAATAACCTTTTTCTTTGTTTTATACATATAGGTGTCTCTGTAAGTGTATCTACATTCAACCTGGTTGCCATATCTTTGGAGAGGTACAGTGCCATTTGCAAACCTCTGCAGTCCAGGGTCTGGCAGACAAAATCTCATGCCTTGAGAGTGATTGCTGCTACCTGGTGTGTCTCCTTCACTATCATGTCACCATACCCAATCTACAGCAAACTGGTTCCTTTCACCAAATATAACAACACCACAGCAAATATGTGCCGGCTCATTTGGCCAAGTGATGTCATTCAGCAGTCTTGGTAAGACATAACTGGCTGTTAGCAAATGCATAATTATCTGGTGGAAAACAGGATTTCATGGTAGCATTAAGCCTATGGAAAATCAAGTATTAACCTTCAGCAAACCTTTACACTCTATCATGCTTATTTAGGAAGTAAAAAAACCCACCCATATTTTTAAGCTGCTTATATTTTGACACTTGCATGGCTTTTCCCTTGTCACAGGAAAGATACCCAACATGGTGATGATTCTCACACTATGGTCTGCTAAGCCCCGACTGTCGCTGTAAAGAAAGCATCTGTCATGTTCAGTAGGAATAGTGCTTTCATTCCTTTATACATAAACTTTAACATTTTCAGAGAAATCCTTGATTAATCTTTGAGAAATGCAGACACATGCAAGCACCCCTTTGTCTGCTGCCTTGCCTGTTAATTTGTTTGAAAGTCCTCTGAAGCAGAGAAGTAGAATCTGAGGTTGCAAATGTCTTGAGAACTGAATCCTTTCGGTCGCTTACAGAGAACAGGGTCAGAGAGAAGAGTAGGGAGACAGTGCTCTGAGTCCTACACATCCAGGCAGAGTAAGTAAACAGCAGCACTATCAAGCAGCAATAGTACTTAGACATGATGTACTTGCATGGTGACTAAACACTGACTAGCCTCCCCCAGTTCTTAGCTGGATAAAAAGGAGTTTTTCTGGTTTATGCTGTTCCCCGGTCTCAGTTTGTCTTTTTATTCTTTAGGTACACTTTCCTGCTACTCACACTCTTTCTTATTCCTGGAATTATAATGATGGTTGCATATGGCCTAATTTCTTTGGAACTCTATAGAGGAATAAAATTTGATGCCAGACAGAGAAAATCTTCACGAGGTAACAATACACTTAGTTTTGGGATTTTTTTAAAGTTACAGTCGAAAATACGAGCAGTCATCTCGAGGCTAGTAAAAGGAAAACTTTCTATTTGCAAAAATGATCATTATGGTCAGTTATGTCATGAATTTGCCAGCTGCATTTGTTGATTGAAGTTATTCTGTTACTCACTAGCAAATAAACCTCTCCTGTGGCTTATTTGCAAAGGCTTGGGGGAGGGTACATTAAATTTCTAATTTGTTTATTATAGAAATATGAAGGTTTTTTTCTGGCCATGGACAAGGACCATTTCTGTCAATAAACACCGCAATTAAAATTGTCAAATTAAGATGGAAACATATAATTTTGAAAACTATCTTCCATCAACACTGGACTTCAACAGTGTTCTTACACCTTTTGCATCAGTTTGTATACACATAACATGTGAGAATATTGGGAGACAGTGGATGCAGAACAGCTGATAATATGACTGACTCAGAATAGGCCAGTGCTTTCTTTTATTGTCCAACTATGAATTATGTTATTTGTTTAGACTTAGACTGGATTCTTCATTTTTTATTTTGAATCATCGTTCAGAGATATTTTGCCAACTATTTAAACTCTAATTTATATGTACAGAAAGAAAATTAAGTACCTGCAGTGCCAAATACGAGGATGGAGACGGATGCTACCTCAACAAAAGCAAAAGGAAAAGGAAAATGCCATTGAAACAGCTCTCTGCTATGAGCCACAGCAAGATAGAGAGGGTGAGAAGCAACAGCTCTTCTGCCAACTTAATGGCCAAGAAACTCGTGATCCGTATGTTGATGGTGATAGTGGTTTTGTTTTTCATTTGCTGGACTCCCATCTTCAGTGTCAATGCCTGGCGCGCGTTCGACACCGCTTCAGCAGACCAGCGTCTCTCAGGGGCTCCCATCTCCTTCATACACTTGTTGTCCTACACTTCTGCTTGTGTGAACCCCATCATATACTGCTTCATGAACAAGCGCTTCCGGATGGGCTTTGTAGCCACTTTCACCTGCTGTGCAAAGCAAAGGCCCCCTGCCACACGGGGAGAGGCTGGTGATGAAGAGGAGGGGAAGACAACAGGGGCTTCACTCTCCAAAAGTTCTTACACGCACATGACTGTGTCTGCACCACCCTGAGCTGTGTCAGAGGAGGCAACAAGCGCCCTATCATCTGGTGTTGGAGAGTGACTGTGGCATCAGCTGAACATGATTTAGTTCTGAGTTAATGAAACACTTCAGTTGACAGTAAACACAGTGAGAATTCTATGGGAAATGGATGCTATCACTATCTGAGTGTTAAATCACTTTTCCTTCAAAAGTACAAAGGAGGAAGAGGGCTGTGAAGATAAAGGACTTTGTAAAAAGCCTTAGAAGATGTTCTGTTTGCCATAAATTTCATTGTAAAAATTGATGTCCTTTACATCAACAATTTTGCTCAGTGTTCAGCTGGAATTCTGAGTATCTCCTAAAACTTCCAAGATGCTAATAGATTCTTCTCAAACATGAATACATGTATTGCAGTCTTCACTTCACTAGCTATGCATTATAACCAAAAAATCTTTCTGTTATATTTGTAGTATATTTTCACATTATTTTAGCTGAGCTAATACATGTTGATATAATTTTGGCATCACACTCACAGAAGTTCTGGGGTGAGGAGCATGGGCTTGTCCATGTGAAAATAATACTTTTATGTAAAATATTTTTTTTTAATAAAATGAAAATAAAATAATATAAATATTGGTGACTTTGTGGATGGAATGCATTCTTCACTCAGGCAATAACATAAATTCACCTAATTTAAGTATTTTTCATTTAAAAAACCACTGTAGAACAAGCACAAAGAAGTGGCTTTCTTCTGTGAAGCCGGAGGCACCCACACGTGCAAGTGGCAGGGTCTTAGATGAGCCCCAAAGTCTCACGTGGAAATTGTCACACTGGGTAGCACAGGAATAAAACTTGGGATAAGGCAAGGAGGTGTTTTACAAAAGATGCAGGACTGCAGATGCAGGTCGGTGCCTGTGGCCGTCACACGTTTCACAAATGCATTCACAGTCGCTCCAGGGGCAGCACTGTCCACATGGATATAGAAGCCATTAGGTGCAGAATGGCTTCTACAGAAGCCATAGTAGACACAATGAACTGAAACACTTTGTCAGAAAACGGTTTTTCTAAACTTTAAAGCAACTATTTTCTGCAGCTATCCATACTTCTAAGCAGACTCAGCATAGAAGAAACCCCAGCTTTGAATGCTGTTATTGTTGGTGCTTGATTGAGCAAGGAGTTCAGTTTCTTTGCTATGCAGCACACAGGTGAGTGTGGGTGTTCAGGTCATGTCCTGTGCTCCGTGGAACACAGATGGAGAAGTTATATCACTTATTTTGTTTTGTGAAAATATCCTGTTGGAGATGTTTCTATCTTCTAGCTGAATCAGTATCATTAAAAAACCTTGTTATTAGACACAGATTAGATTTGAGCACAGTATGGAATGTAGATGTGGATATTAAATATAGCCACTCTCAAGGTTTTTAATCAGGAAAATCTGTTCCCTTTACAGAATGATTTCAAATTAGAAATATACTGTGAGTTCCAGTCATCCAGATCCATGTTCTGCAACCAGTTATTGCCTGAAATGGTTTACCCTTACAACTTAGGACACAACTTTAGCTATTATTTTTTTGCATTCAGCTTGTCCACAGACAGGAAATTAAAAAAAAAATTCTCAACACTATTTGTGCACAATCCATAGAAACAATGTTTTGCCTGCCACATTAATAAAGTAGAACTGTTCCTGGAACAGTGGTGAGACAACTGACATTGATCTGACCTTTTGCAAATACCCAACAAATTAAATTATGGGATTTAATTCATAACAATGAAATGAAAATTTTACTTCACTTAAGGATGCAAGTTGAGCCCCTCTCAAACCTGTCCTGTGTCGAAACTGAAAGGACAAACTTAGCTGCTTTGGGATTTATGTGGAACAGTAACTGCAGAAAACATATTTTTGAAGTATCTTATGCCATTTGAAAGTTTGAATCTATTACAGGTCATAGTTTAAAAATTGTTGTTTAAGTAAAAAACTCTCACAATTTATTAATATACCGGATGTGACTCTTACTGGCTATGTGCTGTATAGCAAGACAACTGCCTTCACAGCTTTGTGTGCACTTTCAAAAGCAAATTCCTTTTTGTAGATGTAGTTTCTTTGATACCTTTAGAGTGACGTAACAGGACGTGCATCGTTCACCTGCTCCCACTGGTTTAACCCAAGGATAGTGGTTTCAGATGAAAGGCAATAGCTATTTTCAACAATGCCTTAATCAGATCTCAGCCCCCTGTGGCCTCCAGTACCTGTGGCTGAAAGGAGCAGAATTTCTGATTGATTCCCCACTCGTAACTATCAGGGAGCACAATTTGGAGGTGATGAAATGAGGGAGGCAGGAGAAGATCCTGATGGAGTGGTGGTTGGGAGACAATTAGGGAAGGGATGAAATGTGTCACAGCAGACATGTTTCCTTTTGTCCAAGGCCTGTCTGTGTGTGAGTCACTTTTCCCCTCCATTGCCCCCTATGTAACTATTTTCTTTTTAAACCACCACAATAACTCTTCTGATCAAGCTCCCAAAGCCATAAGCTTTAGGCCAAAGTCCAGCAAGAAGTGGGAATTAAGATTTTAAAAAGCAATATTACAATCGAGTCATTTTGTCTTCTTCTGCCCTGGTCTCCTACCACAGGAAATTTCAGTCTTACTGCATCCTAATGCCATTTTCCCTGATCTGTGCATTGCAGAAGTCATTTCTGGGTCCAAATGTTGCCCTTTCATTGCTAAAGAGGCATGTCATTCTCCCAGCACCTTTAATTAAGATGCTGATGTCAGTGAAAATGTATCTTCAGCAACAAGTGTGGGTAGAATAAACATATAAAAATAAAATAAGACCACGAAATCTCCTTATTTTAACAGTAGTTTACAGGGGATGTGGGGGAAAATCCTATCCTGAAAGTTTAATTCTACAGTGAGCAGTTCCTAAAAGCAAACTGTTTCCCAGATGTAGCAGAACCAATAAATTTCAGGTGTACACTGCCCATAAATCTCTAAAGCCTTTATCTTCTTTCCCTTTCTCCTGACTCCCACCTTTTTTCCCCCCTTTGTCTTTCTCTTATCTCTTTCAGCTGCATGACACCATCTGTTTTTTCTCCTGTATGCTTCCCAGTCTCTAGGTTACTAGATGACTTTTTCCTCTTTGACAGGTTTATTTTCCTTCACAAATTTACTTTCCCAGAAAGCACTCTTGTCTTCATTTCTCCCTATCATCTCTGGCTGACAGACTCCTGAAATACATTGCTCCAAGCAATATATCCTGCCCACAACACAACAGTTCTGCAATTGCTCCTTACAACCCTGAGTTCACACGTCATCCCTTTTGAACACCAGCTCCTGGCACGCTTGGGCAGGAAATATGCACTAGTTCAGAAAACAAAAACATAGCATTAAATAGCATCCAAATCCTTCTTTGCTGCTTCTGTCACTATTACTTACAACCTCTATTTTTAGGGCACGCTTTAAGACTAATGCCTTAAAATACTGCTAAATACAAGACTTAGTGATGGGTCAAAGTAAAGATATTTCACTGTTGTCAAGGCAAAATACCAGTGCTCTTGAAGAAAAGCTGCGTGTGGACTTGGAACTAGAGTCACTAAAGATTTGCACCTTCTTACATGATCCATGGCCTCTTTTCTGATGCTACCAAGCCCTTTTTGGTAAGGTGGTGAGGCTGTCCAGGATCCCACCTGCTCCTCCATCCCCTCCTGCTCCTCCTGCCTCTGAGCCCAGGGATGGTGCAACCTCCCTGCATACATTATGGCTAATCAGGATGCTTTCCTGGCTTGGAATAGATGATTTTAGGATCAGTCAACACTGAAATAATACAATAAAATACAGAAATATTGCAGCCAAACCATAGCAAATAAACATCCCACACACACACCTTTTTTAACAGCATTTAGCAGGATTTCCCTTAAAAGCAGGCACTTGCTCAGAGCACGTGCACAGCCATAGGGCAGAAGGCAGATCTGGAGAGAGCTGCCTTTTGTGGGACCTCATGGATAGAGGCTGCCATCAAAATCTGGAAGAAGAGTCATGTTAGCACATGGTATAACCTTGATAGTGTTTCTGAATCAAAGCTAATCTATGTTAGATAAACAGACACTATGCCCAGACCAGAATGTGGGATGAATTTACTGACTGCAGTCAAACCACTTTGCAACCTTACAATCGCTGTGGTGAATGCAGTTTATAAAATGTTCTTTTCCTCATGAAGCAGTAATCTTGGAAGTATTCAGTTAGATGCTAAGAGGATTTGAACAGTTACTCATCTTTAGTTTTTCAGATACCATTTTTCCACAACTGATGCTTTTTTATACAAATCAAAACATACAAACATAAAATGGTTTCAGATTCAAGGACTACACTTACTTCTGTTTATCAGGACTTTGGTAAGCATGCCTCTTTTTTTTGCTCAGTCTAAATTGAATGGATATTGAGCTAAACTGAAAGTTTCTAGTGGAAAAAGATGCCTATTCACAAAAGGAAAGTGAAGAAAGATAAAACAAAGGGTTTGATTTTGAGTAAGGATTATGTGAAAGCAGAGGGTGTAGTCTTTTTATTACAGCATCAGAGACAGAATGGTAGAGTATGAAATGAAAGTTGAGATTTCTGGGCTTTGGTTGGGTTTTGTTTGGTTGGGTTTTGTTTGGTTTTTGTTTGGTGATTTTTTTGTGGGTTTTTTTGTGTTTTGGGTTTTTTTTTGTTTAATAAAATATCTTGCTCTTTCACTTCAAATACAACATGGATCAATCAAATCACACTTCACTCAGGTGTGCATGTAGGTCAGCAGTTTGCTTCCCCTCTGACCAGTTTTCCTGTTCACTTTTCTATACGAATTATTAATTTTCAGTTAAACAGCTTCAGCTTTTTATTCACAATCCATCCCTGGCTCTTCTCTCATAGGTTACATCCAGCACAGTAATGTATACCTTTAACATGCCAGATTTTCTAAGTGGTGTATAAAACCTCCCATTTCTAGCATCACATTTTTATTTTTTCCTTCTGCAATGCTTGTTAGGCTGCCTTGGGCACCTCTCAAAGGAAAAAAAAATGCAAAGGAAATGTTCATGAATTGAAAGTCTCCTGCTTTGCTTGCCTAATGGCAAATCATCCCTGCTAGGAGCTATTTTTCTGCATCTCCACAGATAACTATTTCATCAAGAGTTTTCTTGGTTTCCACTCCCAGTTGTGTCCAAAAAGCACTCATTTTGAGATAGTGAGATGTCAGTTGTCCCACTGTATGGTGAGATGGGAACAAAACATATTCATTAGCATGAGCTGGTAGTAAAATTCAAGCAGGAATCATTCCCTATGGGGTAAACACCAGTTAACCAATGTCCTGCTATTCCGACAGTTATTAAAATTTAAACAAAATATTTCCTAATAGAATTTAAAAAAATATTTCCTGATAGAATGAAGAAATGCGACTTATATACCAAGTTTGATTTAAAACAATGGACAAATTACTGCATAGCTCCCATGAATGTCATACAAATACCAGTGTTAAAAAACAGGGATGAAGAAGAAAAGGCACACATACAGAACCGAAATCCATAGGAAAGATGAAGGGC